TTTTTTTTTTAATGCAGCAGCTGTTTGCTGTAATCTGAAAGTTAAGTCCCAAATGCAAATTTAGTGATCGCATCAGAGGCACAAGCTGGGCGTTTCCTGTATTAAATGTAACGGGTAATGCTCTGTCCTGCAAACTTTCAGCCACAAACACTAAATCAGATGAAGGAGAAGCTTCAGAGTGACACTGTCTTCAGCTGCTGTATATTGTACGCTTCCTTCCTCGCATTTTTACTGAAATGAACTTTGTATTTATTAGCTTGGAGTGTAATTATTATCATTAATAATCACTATTATATTACAGTGTTTGTTGATATTGGTAAATACTGTTTGAATATATATACCTTCCAAAATAAAAGTCTAAGTTCAGCAGCAAGCAACATGTTATGAGATGAGTCTTGCTTATTTATGCATCTTTATATTCTTTATCATGACTTTAAGATGGTCTAAAGTTGGCAGGGGTGGACGCTGCCCACTTAGAAATACATTTTGCCCCCACACCTACAGAAAATACACAAAGTTCGCATTTTAAACTTCTTTAGCTGCTTTGCAACCCACCTCTCCTCCAGCATCTGACCCCATCATTGGCATATCCATTGTCATACTGTGATGCTGCCCTGTGCTGTCTTGCTGCTCCGATTTTTCACTTATCCACATAGAGGGGTGAGGAGGTCCCTGTACAGCCTGTATCAGTTACTGTAATTGATTTAAAAACACTCTCTATTTCTTTGAAATGTGTCTGTACATTCTTCTAGGGTCTTTAACTTACAATATAAAGCACCTTGAGGTGACTTTTGTTGTGATTGGGTGCTTTAAAAATAAAATGTGATTAAATTATCTCCTAGGAGCTGCTGTTACAAAATAGTACGTGTTTTTCATTAACAGGGCATCTATTGATGCATTTTTGACAGAGTCACTGATGCAGCTGGTTTAAAAACAACGTGTCCTTTGGCGCCCAGTGTTGAGGCATAAGTGAGCTGGATCTGTCACTCCCAACTTGTCATTTTGTAATTACTTAGATTACTATTGTAAAGGGCATTTTTTACTTTTATGAACTTTATGACAATATACTATAATGACAGCTGGGATAGGCTCCAGCGCCCCCCGCGACCCTGAAAAGGATAAGCGGAAGCGAATGGATGGATACTATAATTATTTTGCTTATATCATACACACCTGTTTCTGTGGTAAATTATTTGATAAATGAATTCATCATGAAATTCAACCTTAAACCAAATTATCATCCAAACAGTGGCAGGAACAGGAGTAGTGTAACTCACAGTACAAGTGTTTGGTCTCCAGCAAGAGGTAATCAACAGCAGTCAGGCAGTTTTCCTCGTGTCTTCATGGGCCTACATTCCTAGCAAGAAGTTTAAGATTTAAGATAGTAATAGGCTTAATTTGATCCGTAAGAGAAGTGATTATGCTGTGTGTTAGTTTCTCCCAGCCCTGTGTTGTCTCCTAAGGTTTTCTAGTGATAAGCAAGATGTCAGGTTGCCCCGCAGGGTCAGGTCTTCCACAGTTTGTCATCTTTTACTTAACCCCTTTGCTGTAAAAAGCTTTTCTTTTGGATTTGTCCATCATCATTGATCTCTCTCTCCCTCTCTTTGGAATTATCTGGCTTTGAATTTCCCAACACGCTTCAATCAGTAATAATTTCGTCAAACTACACTGACTCACCAATAAGGAAGCTTTTCATTTTTAATAGAGTTTTCAACAAAGAGAAGAAACGAAGAGAAGAAACATGCAGGGGGGAAGCTTGTCATTGTTGTTTTGTCTCAGGCATAATGTGACATGAAATTCATTTTCTTTTTGTCTGTTGTTGTTGAGAAAGGCCAGAGGAAAGTTTCTTTAAAAGGTTACATTCTGCAGCATTTTTCTACTTACTGAATATGTAGCAATAATAACAAGGAAAGAGCATTTCCAGAACCTTTTCAAACATTTGAAAAAGCAACAAAAGTCAGGTTTTTCCTTACCCGGAGGCTCTCTATCTAGATTTAATTCTTTGCAGGCTGTTGGACAAACTTAACCCGGTTTCGCTCACAGCGGTTTACTGTCTGATAGCCTGCTGCCTCTGTAAATACAGCATGAACAAGGGGGATAAATCTCCCAGGAAATGCAGGCTGAGGGGAATTTCAATCTGAGGTGGAGCAGTTATCACTCCTGGTCAATGTCTGGAATGTTAACGAAGGTTTATTTGAGGTTAAAACCCGGAGCAAGAATGTGTTCGTACAGAAGAGGCCAGGTTCCTCCAATTACTAGACTATGTTGTTATCAAAAGAGGTTTAATGAAAGTAAAGCCGTCTGCTATAGAAAGATCTTCAATTAATTCAAGTTATTTTTCAATCCTTTTTATGTATTTCCAATGTTAGGAGACAGTGGACGCTAATTGTGATAAACATTTTTCTGTGTTTGGCAAAACAATATTAAAAGCCCATACAAGTGGTTTTGTAATAACTATTTGTGAGTACAACATGCATTTACACCCTACAGGATATCATTGATAGTCGATGAACTTGCTGTACCCCTTAATGGCCTATTTTCTGTTCCAATGGTGGATGCTCAAGTCAGTTTTATCTATAGGCTGTGAAATATCCAAAGGTGCTTTATATTGTAAGCTGAAGACCCCAAAATAATACAAAGAACACCTAAGACTCAGATGACCTGATCACCTGAAAGCTGAAGGTGCTACCACGCATTCTACTTCTAATTCTAATTCTAGTAATCACACGCAACACAGAAGTCTAATATTGAAGTCCTCTGAAGGTAAGATGGGTCCTGATTATTGATGATCTTGTATGTGAGTTTGATTCTAGTTTTAACAGGTAGCCAATGAAGACAAACAGAAAAGAGAAGAAGACGATGGAAGACATATCCTCTCTCTTTCTAGTCCCTGAAAGAGAGCGCCTGAGCGAAGCATCTAAATTATGAACAACTCCATAATTAACCTCGCATGAAGAAGACTCCACATGAACAAACTGGAGTCTGTTAAATAGATATGTCTCCTTTAACACGTGTAGCATACTCTAATCTCTGTAGTAAATATTTTTTCTGGAATAATTATTTGTGAAAAAAGGTACACTACTAGTTAAAGTATAAGGAATACTAGGCAGTCTGGCTACAATGATGAAGAAAAACCTGGGATTGTTGTTGATTTCTTCAGTTAATATAAATTTAGTATAGAAATAGGGAAATTTTGGCAAGCGATGAACATGGCAAACATTTCAAATAAGGAGTTCAGCATATGTGCAAGCAGTCCCCTTTTTCTCCTCTAATATAGACATCTCAGATCTATAACTCTTGCTGTTAAAACTTCTCTGTTTTTGTTTTTCAGTCCCTGGCCCAGTGGACTGAGCATTTTAACAATGAAACAGCAGGGGTGGATTTGCAATTGGAGCCAGCCATTACAGGAATTACTTCATTTATTTCAATTCCACAGTTAGCCACTTGGTTTTATACCTAGAGCACTCCCCTCCACATGACTCGAGATTAACTGCAACACCACGGAATACAACAAAATACCAGTATGTGATGAACTTGGAATAAAAATGTGTTTTTCAAGCATGCTCACCATTGTGCACTGTGCTGTTTAAACCAAAGGACATTTAGAGGACTATTGATCTGTGGTTTTCTTATTGTTAAAAAAAAGTCCCATGAAAAGCCCAACAAAAGTGATCTAAAATAGATAGTGATCCTTTCATACTGTACTGTTTTTGTGTAGTGGAATGGATGAGGTCATCCTGAGTGAAACATCTTTTATACTCACAACTCTAACTGAAGGAAGAATGGCTGTACTAATTTACTCTTCCTGTTTTATACTTCATGAATCTTAATCATCCAAAACCTGCCTGAATGACTTCTGGGTCTTCCTGGCTGAAGGCGACCCTCTGGTCTTTTCCTGTCTGTGTCTGTATGAAATAACTGCAGTGTTTCTGTGATGTAGGCTCATATTAAAAAGAGCAAACTAGAACTAGATTCCCTTATTTAATAAAAACAGCAAAGCTGCACATAACTAGGTTTTGCCACAACATTTACTTGTTTTTGTGTGTGTTTTTTTCCTAATAATTCCCTGTGTTTAGTGATGAGAAGATTCAGTTGTGTCTGGATGTGATTGATTAAATTCAAATCAATTTATTTATACAGCGCCAAATCACAACAACAGTTGCCTCAAGGTGCTTTATATTGTAAGGTAGATCCTACAATAATAGATACAGAGAAAAACCCAACAATCATATGACCCCCTATGAGCAGCACTTTGGTGAGAGTGGGAAGGAAAAACTCCCTTTTAACAGGAAGAAACCTCCAGCAGAACCAGGCTCAGGCAGCGGTGGCCATCTGCCGTGGCCATTTGGGGGAAAAGAGAGAAGTAACACTAGATTCTGTTATTAAATAATAAAAACAGCAAAACAGTACATACTGGGTTTTACTACAACATACTTGTTTTTGTTTGTTTGTTTGTTTTTTCTTAAAAACTTCTGCATAATCTATTTCGGCTTCCTTCACCTGCCTTTTAATCCATGATTGTTCTGACTAGCTGCCTCTCTAAATAGAAGGTTTCAACAACAGGTGGGTGGAGCTTCTGTACGCTCAGTTTTGGTAATCTCAGTTTTTGGATGTAGTTAGCATTGGGCACTCAACGCTGTAAATGTGACAAAAAAAAACACCATCTCTGGGTTTCCTGAACGGCGTACACCGAGAGGTTCATCTTCAGGTTAATACTTCTGAGACATTTCCCTGGTCCCTTTTTCAAATCACCTCATTTTGACTGAGAGCTAATATGTTAGACTGAGGGAGTTGAGGTTGAC